GCAAGCGTAAGCAAATCCATAAATAACTGAAAGATAATAGAAACGATAATAATTCTCATTATGTTTTGTAAAACAGTGAAATATATCCAGGAAACAAAACCGATCTGATAGAAGCATCAACCATTATCTCAACCTACATTCAATCTCAATCCCTCGGCGAAGAAAGTCATGAAACAGATGATCCATGTAATGAGCTTTCCGATGATGAATTCTCATCTCAATAAGTCTAGGGTTGTTAATTAATGAGTCAGCCCAAGACCTCTAATACATTAAAAGTCATAAAAAATGATTCATTTAACCTGAATTAGTAAAACATCAATCAAAAAAACTGTGTGGCACTGGACATGCTAACACTGCAACTATGTAAATAATCAAAACATTTCGCAAGAAATTCAAGGACAATAAAACAAAATAAGAACAATGTTTACTCACCTTACCCATATTGCTTGTTTCTATTTGTTGATTATATCAAAAGATGTACGGAAGTATCATATGTATTAACAATAAGATTTTTAAGTTAAATTGCAACATCTTTCTTATAACACAAAATATGTCTAAGAAATATGAAAAATATTCAAAGTCTGAATGTTATGGAAGTTATTGTGTGCATAGAAGTATAATAAAATATAAATGAAGCCTTAAAAATATTTAAAAATATTACCTATAATATTATTTGTATATAAAAATAATCAAATAACAATATTTGTTCTTTTTAAAATGAAAAGCCATTTACTTTAATCAAAATAATAATAATTGATACTAATTAGTTTTTAATAAAATTTATCAAATAAATATCCAAGAATTACAGTATATAAAAATTTTATTATTTTTACTTTTACCATTTAAACATAATAATCACTTTTAAATAATATTTATATAGACTTAAATTTTTTGAAAAAATTATTATAAATTAAAAGAATAAAAAATAATAAGAGTAAAAATTTTTTTATTTAAAGTAATAAATTTAAATTAAACATATTTTAAAAATACATATATGTAATATACAATATATAATATTTTTAAAATAATTTAAATTATTAAAAATACTTTATTGGAAGTTTCTATTTTTTTATTATTTTACTATCAAAACTTTATCAAATCACCATTAAGCAATCATCAAATAATTATAATATTTGTAAGAAAATCATTTCAATTCAGTTATAATGGTAATAGTAACTATTTTATTATTAAATCTTTTCAATTAAATAACAGTTAAAAATTAAAAATTCTTTATTAAATCATTATCAAATCATTATAAAATTATAATAAGTTAATTATAATTACTTATCAATTTATTTATAAAATTATTTTATAATAATAATTGAACAAACAATATAATTATAATTAAATAACAATATAGTTATAAATTTATTATATTAAATTTTAAAAACTCTTTTCTATTGTCTTTATTTTTTTAGAAAATTTTAATAAGACAAGTTTGAACTGTTTTGTTAAATCATTTTTTTTTCAAAGAAACTTTTTTTTTTCTTTTATCATTATTGAGAACAAAAATTATTTTTAAAGAAAACTATTAGTTATTTTTTTTCTATTATAATCTAAGAGGTTTAGGTTAAATAGTTCTAGATATTATATATAAAAGATTAAATCTTAAATTTATTGAATAAACAATTAATTTTTTTTTTTAAAATGAAAAAAATTTTTTTTTTTTTTTAAGGCGCAAGTGCAGTGACCGCTTCTTCTTTATTGATAAATTCCTTATACCAATTTTACAGTTGCAATTAAGGACTCATACAAGTCAGTACATTATATACTCTATGCAGATTATCCCCCACACCCCCCTTACATCTAGCGCCCAGGAACCTATCGCTTAACGATTTCACTATATGACACTAGGCTGGAACCTATGGGGTGTAAAATGCCTACCACTAGTTTAAACTACCTAATCCATATGGTCCAGTTTTGCTTAGAGGTGTCTTGATTAGGGAGGTTAGTCCAGGTACCTCTTCACTTTATCGCCTAGACCTCAGATCGCACTCTTGCTACCTTTAAATGGTCTTACACAAGATTTTGATCCTTCTCATTACCTGCAGCTGGTTATTTTTCAAACCAATTAGGCTCTGCACCGGATTGGGATATTCTAGGGTAGGGTTCTAACCACTATTGAAAGGAGCGGATCGAGGTTTGGTTAGGATGGAGTACAGCCCAGTCTGTATACTCAAACGCAAGGGAAGTCTTGATTAAGGAAGATGAGTATATGCCTCTTAGCTTATCATGTTGCTCAACTACCATTGGCATATTTCCAGCAATCATCGTGGCACCACTCGGATGATCGTCACGTCACAACACCTTTTCCAGAGATCACAATCCCAACGTCCCACTGGATCAGCGTGCGAATGACTTCCTATGGGAAATAGGGCTTAACAGGTTATGACCCCAGATACCATTTTTAATTCGGATCAATCGCCTTCACCTGGGGTTGAACTGGTATCTTGTGATCTGACCTGTGGAGTGTTAACCACTACACTATAGACCCATAGGTCTATATTTGCTATAATATAACAAGATATTCAAACTGATTTGTATAGATAAATTAGGACTTCTGTTAATATTCTGATCCAGTTGAAAAAATTAATTATAAAAAAAACATTGTTAGTAATATTATATGCAAGTTCTGTTAATATCAAGCATGTAAGATTAATTTATAATTATTTTTAAGATAAAAAATATTATTATTAGTATTAATACTATTAGATATTTAAATATATGCTAAATATATTAATAAAAAAAACTCTTTTCCACTCTCCCCTTCTACACTTGAAAATTTTCTTTTTAGAAAACTTTTGAGTTGTTTACTTTTTTTCACTTTTCTCTCCTTTCCTCTTTCCTATATACTTTTCTTTCCTCTTTTTTTTACAAACCTTTATTTATATTATATTCCTTCCCTTTTTTTTTCTTCTGTCAAAGCTAGGTTTTTCCTTTTCTCTAAAGTTTTTCTTCTCTAGACCTCTTCTTTTTTTAAAATATCACTTTTTATTTCATCACTTCTCTAATCTGTTGACTCTTTTCTCTCAAAAACTAATTAAGAAGTGATAACTTCTTTAATCTGTTGACTTCTTTCTCTCAAAAACTAATTAAGAAGTGATAACTTTTCTCAAGATATGGACTTTGAAAAAATTTTTTTCTTCCATGGTTTTTTTTTGAAAAAAAATAGATAGTTTACCCTTCAAAAAATCACCATAACTATCTTATTCTCTGGACACTTTTGCCATACTTGAAAAATAAATAGGTCACTCCTATATGAATTGGAGACTGACCTATGAAAAGTGACTATAGTGCCTTCATGTATTAACCAACTTCTTTACTTGCTGTATATTAAACCAAAGCTGAAAAGCAAGTGTACAAATCCTAGTTATAACTTGAAGGCCAACCTGTATATTTGGTTACAGCACCTTCATGTAACTAAATATCACACAAATTTGTCAGGTCCAGGCTGGCTACTATTCAAAAGCTTATAGGATTTTTATAATTTTTTTCTATTGCTTAGATAATTAGTTAAACTAAGATAGAATAACCAATTTATTTGTATTATACATTAGACTTTTCTTAATAAAGAAAGATATAGTTTAATCTTCTGTAATTATAATATTGCTTTCAATAATCTTTTATAAATAAAAGAAAATGTGATGTTACTTTGGTTTTAAATATATATAAATATATATATATATGCTAAATATCTTTAATATAAAAGTTGTATTTGGAACAATATTGATTCAAATATTAATTTGAATATAATTTATAAATATAGAGAACCCTTCCTAAATACACTCCCTTGGAACCAAGCACAAGTGTACATTTAGAGAGGGTATGTATTTAAAGAAAAAAATTTTTTTTATAATTTTTATAAAATTTATAGCATTTATTAATTATTTAAAATAATTATTGGATATAATTATTGATATTTTTGGAATAAATTGCATGTTTTTGCCTTCAATTGAATAGTTTATTCCATTTTTTGTTGAAATTAATGGCTCAAGTAATATCTCCAGACATTTGTGAAAGGTTTCACATACAATCTTTTTAAAATTTTGTGATTGTTTTTTCATTATATTTTCTGATTTAATTATTGGCAAATATCCTAATAGTTGTTTTGCATCTGGTTTATTGCACCTCCAAGTTGGTATATTCCCTAATGAAACATATATTGGGTGTAATGAACTCTTTCCCAAAGTATCACAATTTGTTG